ATTTCTCTTTTACTTTGAAATTCCCAGCTTCATAATTCCAAAATGTCTGCTATCCCTGAGTCTGTTTCTGCTTATTTGTCTCTGTAGACTGTTTCTGCCTTTTATCTTGCCTTATAATTTTTTTTGAAAGCCAGACATGATATAAATGTAAATGAAACCAAGGTGAATAGGCCTTTAATGTGATATTTTACATTATCTGGCTGTGGGTTAGGCTGTGTTTACTGGTTGTAGCTAGGCGTGTTTCAAAATGGTTACTATCCCTCTCCCTCTGCTGGAAGCAGGAGGGAATTCTTCTCTGTTTGAAAGTGAGAACCTGTTAGGGCTCCGGAAGGACGTAAAACTCAGGAACATGTAGGGGCCTCCCAAAGACTAGGCCCTCTCTGAGTTTTTTTAACACTCAAGCTGGTCTACACTGAGTCTCCAGTAATTTGCTAATTATAGTTTAAAGTGTCCCTACTGTCCAGCTGTGGGCTATGTATTTGCCTGTCTGTCTCTCCATTTTGGGGGCAGTACTTTGTCTTGTGGCCTTAAGTCTCTGACAGATCTAAGAAGAGTTGTTGACTTTCAGTGTGTCCATCTTTTTTCTTGTTTTGAGGATGGGAGTGATGACTTCCAAGTTCCTTACATTTCAGACCAGAAAACACATTAATTAATTACTTAATTAATTTAGAGGCAGAGTCTTGTTCTGTCACCCAGGCTGGAGTGCAGTGGCACGATCTAGGCTCACTGCACCCTCCGCCTCCCAGGTTCAAGTAATTCTCCTACCTCAGCTTCCTGAGTAGCTAGGATTACTGGCACCCACCACCATGCCTGGCTGATTTTTTTTTTTTTTTTAGTAGAAACGGGGTTTTACCATGTTGGCCAGGCTGGTCTCAAACTCCTGACCTCAAGTGATCCACTTGCTTTGGCCTCCCAAAGTGGTGGGTTTACAGGTGTGAGCCACTGTGCCCAACCCAGAAAACACTTTACTATTGTCAACCTAAATAACAAAGAGAAAGAGGCTCTCTAAAAGAAATAAGGTATTTATTTTGGAATAGAGCATTGTAATGGGAATATGCATGCTGTAGTAAGCTATGCACATATTCAGGGAGATAAAGAAAGGGAATAGTTTGTAAAGGAAAAATGAGGATTATATAATTGTTTTGAAATGTTTATCCTTGGCTATAAATATCAACAACAATGGTGATACCAGTCCAAGGCTGGACAGGCCGTTGCTGGGCAGATGTCTTTTCAGAAATATTTTTTGTATATGGATGCAAATGTTCTTTGGGCGAGGTTGTGATTTTTGCAATTTTTTGTGATCGTTTGTGCTATCAGGCATCTGAGAATGAGAACTCTGTCTTTATGGCCTTCACCTCTATTTGTCAGATTTTTCTTTTATTTTCTTAACATCAGTGACTCCATTTTGATTCTGACAACTTTCACACTATGATTTTTAAATCTTTTTTTGGGGGGAGACTGGCAGATTCAGCTAGAAGCCAAATTGTGCTCCACACACAATAATTTTTTTTTTTTTTTTTTTTTTTTTTTGAGATGGAGTCGCACTCTGTCACCCAGGTTGGAGTGCAGTGGTGTGATCTTGGCTCACTGCAGCCTTTGCCTCCTGGGTTAAAGCAATTCTGCCTCAGCCTCTCAAGTAGCTGGGACTACAGGTGTGTACCACCACGTCTGGCTAATCTTTTGTATTTTTAGTAGAGGTGGGGTTTCACTATATTGGCCAGGCTGGTCTTGAACTCCTGACCTCAAGTGATCCATCCACCTCGACCTCCCAAAGTGCTGGGATTACAGGCATAAGCCACTGTGCTTGGTTCCCATGCAATGATTTTTAAAGAATCAAAAATGGCTGGCCGGATGCAGTGGCTCACACCTGTAATGCCAGCACTTTGGGAGGCAGAGGTGGGCGGATCACAAGGTCAGGAGATCAAGACTATCCTGGCTGACACGGTGAAACCCCATCTCTACTAAAAATACGAAAAATTAGTGGGGCGTGGTGGCAGGCACCTGTAGTCCCAGCTACTCAGGAGGCTGAGGCAAGAGAATCGGTGGAACCTGGGAGGCAGAGGTTGCAGTAAGCCAAGATTGCGCCACTGCACTCTAGCCTGGGAGACAGAGCGAGACTCCATCTAAAAAGAAAAAAAATAAAAATAAAAATAAAAAGTTGCTAAATTTTAGATTACTTGTTTTTGTATTTTTCATTATATCTGTGATATATTAATAGATTTCTTAACAACAACTAACTTTTCCTTGATTGTAATTCTTCCTTTTACTTCACTGAGGTGGATAATTCTTTATATACATGGTTAAATTTTACTTAATTTTTCGTTCAGATTTTTACAATTATATTTGTAAGTGAAATTCATCTGCCGCTTTATTTTGGCTGCTCTCTTTGTCTGACTGAGATGCTGATATAGGGTACTCTTATCTTTTGTTTCCAAGACTGTTGCCACTCTAATGAGGAACTGAGTGAAGTTTTATTATACACTTTTAGTTAACTTGAGAATCCTATTAACTATTTTTTGAGGTAAGTGGAAATGACTTCTGGTATCTAAGAAAAAGTAGCTAGAAAATAATATTTTAAAATTTACAGGGGATATTATAAAGGAAGCTTATGAAGAGTTTAAATTTTAGAGTATAGCATTCCCCTTGTTCCCTCTTTAAAGGCAGTTTTCAATAATTAAGAGATATTAACTATATTTATTTAGGTCAGGAGATTTTTTTTTCAACTTGTCTTCTGAAACGGAAGAATAAATGAACAATATGATAAAAGAGAGAATGAACAAATGTCACCATTCTCCTCTTATTGAGGGTGATTGTGCAGGTTGTACACTACATAAACCAAGGGACATTATTTGTTACAAGGTTTGAGTTGATTAGACATTTTCTTTCTGTACATATGTGATTAAAATCTACATCAGGGGTCAGCAAATTTCCTTTTTTTCAAGGGCAAGACAGTAAGTATTTTAGGCTTGTGGGTCATGTGGTCTCTGTCAAAACTTTTAAATTTTGCTGTCATAGTATGAAAGCAGCCATACATACATAAGGGAATTGTTGTGACTGTGTTTCAATAAAATTTGATTTACAGAAGCATAACTGGACTGAGGGCTGTGGTTTACCTATCCTACTTTATGCCTACATACTTCTAAGGGAATCTAATGTTATCATGAAGATTTTAAGATGGGTTATGGTTATAGCTCAAACTCCTAACTTACATATCTGATTTTCCTCTTACTCTCTCAGTTTCTTGTGCAGTTTCAACCTTTTCTGCCAGGGTTTTGTAAATGTTGTAGCTCTTTAAACCTCAGCCTTAGATCTTTTTCTTTTCTCACCTCTATACTCTTTCTATAGGCAATGAATCCAATATTTTTTAACTTTGGTGCATTCCTCTACTCTGAATCCAACTGCCAACTTCATGTTTCTCAAAGACACCTCAAATTCAACAGTTAAACTGAATTTATAATCTTCCATTCTCAAACCTACTTCTCTGTGTTTTTTTTGTTTCAGTGAATATTATCATCAACTCTTTAATACAATAAGCCAGAAATTTAAGAATTATACTTCACATACAGAGTCTTTATTACCTATTGATTTTATCCCCTTTTGAATCATTGTGTCCACTTCATCTCTCTGCTCATAAAAAAGGTGCTGCTGATTTTTATCTGTGTTATTGCAACAGCCAGCCATTCTTGGCTCCTTCCATTTTGTGATTTGACTGATATTTATAAAATAGACATCAGATAATAAACTAAACAATCTGATAATAAAGCTAGTCCTAGACCTTTAATAACATCCTTTGTTCTAAGGATAAAAATTTAAAATGTTGGCAATAGCCCTCATAAAGCTGTGTGTGTTTTGCCACCTGCCTCCTTTCTAACCCCATCTGGCACTTACTTATATATACCAGACATTATACCAGGAAAGGGGATTACAAAGATAAAATAAATGGTCTCTGATTTCAAGCAGGTTACAGACTTTTTAGGGGATATACTTAAGTAAATAATGCTAAAGAGAGTTGCATTATTTTAGGTCAGATAAATATCAGAATTGAAATGACATGTTAAGATATGCATAATAGGGAGAAAACCAAGAAGGATTTAGCTTAAAAAATCAACAACATATCTAAAATTCTTTATTTGGAAAGAACTATATATACTGTCAAATCTTTACTTATTGTTTTGAGAGCTTATATCATAGGTTAAATATATAAATGAGGAAAAGGTTATGGTAAGAATAGCTCTTTGACTGTTAGAATTTTCCATTTGCCACTAACTAAATGAATTATACAAAAGCCACTTGTAAATCTTTGTGTCAACTGATGATAAAATCAATGCAGTTGTTTGAAAGACTATATTGTATTGTACATCTTAGAAGCACATTATAGCACATTACATCTGACACCATTAACCAGAAGAATGACTTCATTGGCAAAAAAGAATAAATTGTAAGAAAGTAGGTGTGACAGGTTTTTCCTTTTCACAACTTACCTTCCATGGAAACTCTGAAACTGTTTCATAACGATTTCATAAGTTTTTGTATTGATGCAAGTTTTTGTACTGTTGATGTAACAACTGCATTGATTTTATCATTTCTGTCATGTTTGCACATTTTGGCCCATCAAAATGTTTGGCTTCTCTCTATATGGTCTTCTAATTATAGAAATTGCCTCATAAGTGTGATTGTGCGTGTGTGGCAATGTAATATTATAAGAACAGCAAGCCATTCAGAAAGAGAATTTCTGAGATTCAATAAAACAGAGTTTTCTTTGTTGAAAACAGAAATATGCTCAGATTTAACAGCTCCAGAAAAACAGCACCATATTTGACTATATGAAACCAGAAAGGCACGATAAACTATTACTTTTTATTCTATGTGATTTGTCTGTGGTGTCTATGATAAATGCTGCTTTCTAAAACATACCAGTCACAGCACAGCAGAGCAATAATAGAAATGTAAACGTACATTATGAGAAAAACACAATTAGAAAAGTATAAACATACACTTACTGGCTCTCCTGGAAGTCCTCTGTCACCTGTACTTCCAGGCAATCCCTGTAAACCCTGGACAAATAAAGGCAATACTTGTAGGAAAAGTGTTGTGTGAAGATGTTTTACACAGTTTCCTTACCTTAGCTTTCCTATGGATCCTTCCACCCAACTTTTCTGTCTACTGCTATTTTTTTTTTTTTGCTTTTGTGGTAAATTTACTATTTTAACCATTTTTAAATGTAGTTACGTGGCATTAAGTACATTCACATTGTTGTGTAACCATCACCAGAACTTTTTCATCTTCCCAAACTGAAACTCTGTACCCATTAAATACTAACTCCCCATCACCCCTTTTTTCTATTCCCTGGCAACCACCATTCTATTTTCTGTCTCTATGAATTTGAATACCCTAAGTACCTCATATCAGTGAGATCATACAATATCTGCCTTTCTGTGACTGGCTTATTTTACCTAGCATAATGTCTTCAAGGTTCATCCCTGTTGTAGCATGCGTGAAAACGTTCTGCTTTTTAAGGTTGGGTCCACTGTATGCATATCCCACATTTTGTTTATGTATTAGTCTATCAAAGAACATGGATTACTTTCAACTTTTGGCTATTGTGAATAATGTGGCTATGAATATGGGTATACGAGTATCTGTATGAGTCCCTTTTTTCAATTATTTGGGTATCTACCTAGAAGTGGAACTGATAGACCATATGGTAATTCTCTGTTTAACTTCTTGACAAACCACCAAACTGTTTTCCACAGCAGTCCCCCTATTTTATATTTGTACCAGTAATGAACAAGGGTTCCGATTCCTCCACATCCTTGGCCACACATATTTTCTTTTTTTTTTTTATAACAGCATTATAAAGTTTGTGAAATAGTATCCCATGGTGGTTTGATTTTCATTTCCCTAATGACGAGTGATGTTGAGCATCTTTTCATGTGCTTACTGGCCATCTGTATACCTTCTTTGGAGAAATGCCTGTTCAAGTCCTTTGCTCATTTTTCCATCAGGTTGTTTTTTTATTCTTGAGTTGTAGGAGTTCTTTGTATCTACCTCTATTTTTATTTAATCCTCACTCCTATACTGTGACAAATAATTACCCAAAATTATTTTAAATCTGAATTTCTTTACAGTTTTAATGTCCACATAAAGTTTCCTTTTTCAAAAAATAATAATGTCCTTGTGATGTGTTAATAAGTATGATTTATGTCTTTAAACCCTGGCAAGGCACAGGAGACTCAGAACCTAGACAACTGGAAATAACCATACTGAACCTGTAACTTCCTTTTTTCCCCATCTTTACACTCTTTGTAGTACCATAAAAGAGTGTTTCAGATATGAAGTAGATAGAACACTAAACCAAATTCTGAGTCTTCTCTGACTCAGTCAAAGATTTATTGAGCATTTACTGTGTGCGAGGCACTGATGACCACTGACAATACATAACATGTTGACCCATTTGTAAGTTGCATCTTCTTTTTTTGCTTTATTTTATTTATTTTTTAAATTTTTTTGAGATGGAGTCTCACTCTGTTGCCCATGCTGGAGTGCAGTGGCGTGATCTCGGCTCACTGCAAGCTCCCCATCCCGGGTTCACGCCATTCTCCTGCCTCAGCCTCCCGAGTAGCTGGGACTACAGGCGCCCACCACCATGCCTGGCTAACTTTTTTATTTTGTATTTTTAGTAGAGATGGGGTTTCACCGTGTTAGCCAGGATGATTTTGATCTCCTGACCTCGTGATCCGCCCGCCTGGCCTCCCAAAGTGCTGGGATTACAGGCGTGAGCCACTGCGCCCAGCCGTAAGTTGCATCTTCTGCATTATTGACCTTGGGAAAGTTGATAACTATACAGCTAATCACAAATACCATTTTACCTTAAAAAACTAAAAGGTATAAAAATATGACATTAAATTAGAAGTAAAGATATTCAAAGTTCTTAGCAACACACTGTCTTCTAAGTTATAATCTTTAATGCTATGTTCAGTTTCTCTGGCTAGGGAAAGGGAACTATGTAAAATTATGGACTCCCATCTAGTTGAAGCTCTGTTTCAGTCATGTAAATGATATGGTGTCTATTTACTCCAGGCTCCTTAATTAAGAGATAGGATCATTATAAGGAATCTCTCTGTGCCTAGTAGAACAACTGAAATATACAGAAAACTTCAGAACTTTAAATAATATCTGCCCAATTTTCTTTGTAAAGTATGTATAGACATAATATCAAGCTTATCATGTACTTTTAATGCTGTTGATACTGCATAAAAGCTCTTTTGCAAAGCCATGAAATAATTTAAGTGGACTCTGTTTTTATTGGGGAAAAAGCGGAAAAGCACAAGCTGGAATAAAATAAAAATTATCTTTAAGGCTTTTTAGAACTCCCTTCTCCATTACTTCAACCCAGTAACTATGATAATGATGACCATGAGGATAACAATGGTTATTTTGGTTGTTATTTATTAGAGCCTGTTCCAGGAACATAATAAATAACATTTGTTATAACTATAAAAGATTTCCTATATCAAAGATGGGGAAACTGAAGCCCAGAGAAGTTAAGTAATTTGTACAAAGTCAAGACTGCTAGTAAGTGGCAAAGCCAATATATGACTTCCAATATGATTGATTCCAATAAAATATAATGATACATTATATGCAAGGGAATAATTATATATATATATATAATTTATATATATATATATATATATATATATATATATATATATAAAACTGTGGACTACTTATCAGAAATACCGACGGCCAAAAGAAAATGGCAAGTTATCCTTACAGAGTTGAATAAAAACAAAAGAATCCCCCAAAAGACTCTGTCAACCTAAAATCTGATATCCGGTGAAACTGTACTTCAAAAGTAAAGGAGAAATAAAGACATTTCATAAACAAAACCTAAGAGAAATATGTACTAGCAGACTTTACTACAAGAAATATAAAGGATGTTCTATAGGTTACAGGGAAATGACATCATTTGGAAACACAAATCTTCAGAAAGTAATGAACAGCATCAGAAAAGGCAAATATGTGGGTAAATGATAAACATTATTTCCCATTAAACATCTCTAAAGTATGTATTTCATTTACATTATGAAAACATTTTATTTATATTAAAGCAAAAATTATAACTTTGCAAATGTGTAGTTTAAAATATATGTAGATGTAATACATAAAACGATTATAGCATTAAAAAGTATTAGTAAATGGACCTATATTGTTGGCAAGTTTCTTACACTTGTGTTAAGTATTTACATAAAACACTTATTTTGTGGCACTTCACAGAAGAAGTTTGCTGACCCTTGACCTAGAATAACCATGGAAAATTATAATGAGAAGAAATAGAGCTAAAAATCCAACAGACAGATTAAAATAGAATTCTCAAAATTATTCAATGCCAACAGAAGATATTGAAAAATAACAACAAAAAGGAAACAAACAAAAACAGATCATTAAATGGGAGACCCAAATCTAACCATATCAATTACGTATCAATAATTACATTAAATTGAAATTGAACAAATGCTCAAATTAAAAGGCAGAAATTGTCAGAATGAATAAAACGCAAGGTCTAACTATAAGATAAGATATTCACTTTAAATATCAAGACACAAATAGGTTGAAAGTAAATTAAGGAACAAGATATGCCATGTAAGCAGCAAGCTAAGAAAGCTGGAGAAACTTTATATTAGTATTAATATCAGATGAAGTATACTTCACAACAAATAGTATTACCAAGAGTAAAAAGCATTACCAGAGATAAAGAAGAATATTTTTTAACAACAAAAAAGGATCAGCTGATGAGGAAGACATAATAATTACAAATGTGAATAAACTTACAATAGAATTTAAAAATACATAAAGCAAAACTGGAAAGAATCAAAGGTAGAAATAGAGAAACACAAAAATTATAGTTGGAGAATTTTTACACCCCTATCTCACAAACTGATAGAATATCTAGATTTAAAAAAATACTCAGTAATGTATGAGTTATGATAGTTTTTATATTATTTAGAGAACCTAAAATAGTGATCCAGGCCTTAACACCTTATTAACACAGTGGATTGTGGTCTTTTTTCCTGATTTTCTTTTGAGTCAGATGTATGGGAGGCAAGTATTGTATAGGAAACAGTGTTGGTCCACAGACAAATACACTTTTACTAGTTATCTGGATTACCAGAGCACTATGTGTTGCCAGTTTTCATTTAATTCCTGGCTTAAAATTATGAAAACTTAGAGATGGAGAGGGTCTTAGAGCTCTCATCCTAACCATTTTTTAAAATTCATTTTAAAAATAAAGAATATGTAGTTTTAGAGATGGGGGTCTCACTACATTGCCCTAGCTGGTCTCGAACTCCCGGGCTCAAGAGACCTTTCTTCCTCTGCCACTGAAAGTGCTGTGATTACAGGCATGAGCCATCACGCCTAGCCCTAACCAATTTAAACATGGTTATATGGTTTTTAGGAGCATACAATAGACCAAAAGTCAATCTGACCTCAAATTTAGTTTTCTAATATACAGCACTGCCTGTTTGTTGATAGTGCATAAACGACTAGAGACACTAAGACTGTGCTGAAGGATCAAATGAATCTTTGGGGCTTGTTTGGCTTTTTTCAATTGATTGTTCTCAGCTTCTCCAAGATCTCAATTCAATCAAGGAGAAGGAGACAATGTAGGTATAGAGCCAAGTAAACCTCAATAACTATTATAAATTCATATTTAATGTCCAACTTTGTCATGCACTAAGGAAACTTAATTCTTCCAGGAGTCTACGTGACACGTTTGCCAGGGTAAGGTTTCAAACCAGGGTAAGGTTACAAAATGATTCTAGTATCTTTTATTTAATTGAGAAAGTCAAACATGAAATATTACATTTATACAAGCATACATTGATGGGCTAAAAATGAAGGTAAAATTCTAGGGAAGGTCAAAAATGAATGATCTATAATTTTACCTTCATTTTCAGTACATCAATGAATACAAAATGAATAAGTAATTTTATTTATCTGGGCCTCATTTTTTTTTAAATGAGAGGAATGAACTTGAGCTCCAAACTTTTCCACTCACTGCAACGTATGGGCACTGTATAAAGTACAGCAAAGTAGCATAATCTATACAAATACCATTTATATCAATATAATAGAAACTCAGATGACGAATATTAAAACTCAAGTAACATTCTTTGAGGATAACGTTAATCAATAATACAATGCCACACACAAGTTCTTTCCCAGACACAGTCATTTATTTTCTGTCTTAGGTCTCTGGTATTTTAGGTTGGATCACTGTTAAACACAATGTTATTGTGGGAAACAGCGGGCAGGGGGCAGCAGATTTCAAAAAGGAACAAGCAAATGCAGTGACATTTACTATGTAAACAATTATTAATAGTATAGCAGCTAAAACATTTTTATTCTATCCTTTTCTGTCTCCTGAGCTGCAATATATTTGTATTATCTATTTTTATAACTTTATATTATATATATGTGTATATAACAAATCAAAATGTCATCATTAAAAATTAAAATTCTGAATGAAAGTAAAAATATTCATATACCTAAGCTTATGTGCTCATATACATGTACTATCTTATGTGTCTATGTGTAAGTATGCATGTGTGGGTAAATATTTAACTTTTTTTTTCCTCTTACTTAGTGATGATAACCACAGAACTTGTTGCCTTTCAGGGAAAAAAATGTATAATTCTGGTAAGATTTTTGATGGTAGGAAAATAACTAGTATTATAAAATATTAATAACTCCTAAGAAGTGCCATGGGAAGGCATGATGACACACACAGCTCTACACTCCAAAGGCCTAAAAGGAATTCAAGTTGAGTTAAAAGAAAACTAGGCAAGAGGCCCCAAAAAAGTTACTTATTATATTAGCTTTATTAACGTCTCATTATATTTATATATCATGCCATTTTATTTTGAAATGGGTTTTACAGTAAAACTAATTTATCTTCACTCTATTTATCATAGAGTGAAGTAAAAGTATCAGTTATAACCACCAGTTACGGATAGGTACAACCCAGGCCCAGAATGGGTAAGCAACTTGCTCAAATAAAACAATGACCCAATGATTAAAGGAGAAAAAGAACTTACATTCTTTTAGTCCAACGTACTGAATACTAAACAATAGTTGTATCAGAGAATAAAGCAGATAAGGGTAATCAGTTCATAATTTATACATATATCAAGATATCACATTGTATACTGCAAATATATGTAATTTTTATGTGTCAAAAAATCCCCCAAACATTGTTTGAGCAGCCCCTCTCCTCAAAAAATAGCAGATAAAAATTGTTCATCGCCTGATTTTTTTTTTTTTTATTACTTACTGGTTTCCCTTGAACTCCTCTTTCTCCAGGGTTTCCAGTCTTCCCCTACACGAGAAAGAAAATGCTTGAGTCAAGCAGTCCCCTCCAAAAAGATTAATCATACTAAGAGAAACAAAAAAGACTTAAAATGTTCATCTTTAATGTGAAATGTTTTATTACTTACAATAAGACCATGAGGCCCTCTCTTTCCTTGATCTCCTTTTTCACCCTAACAAAGCATCAAAGCCAGGTGAGTTAGTAAGAATGTGAATTGTCGTCTTATATATGCTAGCATATATTCACATACAAAAAGATAGTAAGTATACAGTTCAATATTGAAAAGTAAACATCTCTGTGTCTGTAGTAAAAACTTTTATGTGTTTCATACTTAGACACAGAGAAAATTTAGAACCATATTTTTGTAAGGAAATATGTTGTTTTTTAGACCAGTAGGACATACGGGCTCAATAAAATTTAACTGTATATGAAATGAGAAAAATCAATGATTACCTTGGCACCTTGTATACCTTGTTCCCCTAAGAGACCATCTGGTCCTCTTGGTCCCTAGAGGTGAAAAAAATATCCTGTTGTTAATTTGAAATGTTCCTTTTTTTTTTTTTTTTTTTTTTTACTGTTATGTGTCCTCACAGATGAAGATGCTGTGCCCTTCTTTAGTAGACAAACTCCTTCTGCTTGATTTTATGCCTGACAACAGAAAATACTACAGCTGGGTATATGGCTCAACTTCTCTGCATGGGAGAATCAGCCCATGTTTTTAAGATTTAATGACAAATAATAAGTCAAATGAGCACAAAAATAGCTAACTCAGTGGTTGAGGTGGTTATAATATAGGTGTGTTATTTGGGTATTTCATTCACTTTATAGTTTACTCAGCAGCCAGCCAGGATTTATTCTTAATCAACTCTAAATCAAAAGTGGCTGGATTTGTTTCTCTAAACAGTCTCCTTAAGTTTAATATTTTAAGATGGTGCTCTTTTCATGTTATTAGAAAATGATACCAATGCAGGAGCAGAAAACCAAACACAGCATTTTCTCACTTATAAGTGGGAGCTGAATGATGAGAACACATGGACACATGGTGAGGAACAACACACACTGGGGCCTATCAGGGGGCCTGGGGGAGGCAGTGCATCAGGAGGAATAGCTAATGGATACTGGGCTTAATACCTAAGTGATGGGATGATCTGTGCAGCAAACCACCATGTCACATGTTTACCTGTGCAACAAACCTGCACATCCTGCACATGTGCCCCTGAACTTAAAATAAAAATTGAAGGAAAAAAAAAAAAAGAAATAAAGTTTAGCTGGAATGAAAAAAAAAAAAAAAGAAAGAAAGAAAGAAAATGAGTGCTGACTGCATTGTACCTGCTATGCAACTGCTTGCCAGGAATTACTGGGAGATGGCAGGAGCACAGAAAAGGTAAGAGAAAATACTACTGAAAATATTCATGTAAATTTGAAACTTCTCAGTGTTCATTCAATAATTAGCTGCAAAAAAGCCGTTGCAAAAGTCATTCTATAATAAAATGATAGAATACTCTTCCATTAAATTATCACTTTCTTTGGAAGACCTTAAAGTCTTTGTTCAGGGACTTGATTCAATTCTACAGACTCTAACTGAATACCTGTGGAAAAGGAATTGTATTAAGTGTTACGGTGATTTATAATTGAGAGGAAGTTTCTCTATTATACAAATATACAAAAGACAATTTTATATATATATATAAATATATAGATAAGACATGCCAAGGACCAAAACAAGAATTCAAAGAGGGAGACAACCTTCACATCTGTAATGGGAATAAAGATATTTTTAGCAGATGGAGGTCGAGTTCTCATAGACTTATTCCAAATAGAAGAAACTCTACATTGAGGGATAGTATGAGAAAAATTACAGAGGCATGAAAAAAGATGCGCACAGAATAAAAACATAGTTTGTTTGGTTAGGCTATTGATTACATGTTGATAAATATTAAGATGTAAGTGTGGAAAAGAAGACTAGGACTTATAAGGTGAAGGACTGAAGTTTACTTTTAAATAATTTGGCAGAAAACTGATGCTGAATATTTCTATACAGAACAGTGATACACATCTCCCAGGACAACATACAGATTTGAAGGAGTCCTTTAGGCTTCAGAATCTTCTCTTGTATCACATCTGAGATAAGCTTTGGTTTAGCTTTATATTATTAAAAGCTATTTACTGTAATAGGACTCTCTTCTCGGAACTCTTAGGGTAACTGCATTCCTTGATCCTCAGAGGCACATTCATGGATTTGGACAGAACACATACTTCATGGAGGATCTGTAGCTCCACTGATCCTGATAAAGCCATAGCTCCGGCCCTACAATTTCTAAGTCTATATTCAAGGTACTCCAAAATCTATTCCCAACTTCCTTTCTGCTCTATTTTCCAATGAAGGACTGAAAAACTGAACTACAGTCTTACTGTGCAAGACCTTGAAGATCAAGTTGAGGAGCATGGACTTAATTTAATAGATCAGTATTTTTTAACATGTGTTATTCATTCAGCAGATGTATACTGAGTGCGTACTAAAAGCCAGGCATTGTTTTAGGTCCAGAGGACACGGTAGGGAGAAGAGACAAATCCCTGAATTCATAAACAAGCAAATAAGTACGTAAAACTAAATTATAAAATGAAAATATGTAGTTAGGTGTAATGAAGAAAAATAAAGAACTAGAGAGTATCCAAGGTGGAGAGGACTATTTTAGATAGGGTGGCCTGAAAAGTCTCTCTAAAGTGACATGTGGGTAGACACCTAAAAGAGGTAAGATTGCAAGCTACGCAAATAATTTGGGGAAGGTCACTGTAGCAGAAAAAACAGCAAGTGCAAAGTTCTGATGAGGGAGCATGCTTAGAATATTCAATAATTGAGTATCTGAAGATGAAAAAAGAACAATGTTCAACGGATGACTCAAGTCTTAAGCATGAAGGTACCTCAGGACTTTGCTCTAATAATCACCCTCAACCCTCAAGATGATCTTGAAATTTCAGCCATCTGTATTGATTCTTTTTCTCTAGCACCTTCAATGCCTAATTCTTCTCTTTTTGCTCTGAAAGAAACACAGCTAACTTTTTTGAGTAACAAAAGAAGAAGGCCAAAAGAGTGTGAAAAGGAATGAGTGGTCAACATTCTAAAATACTATAAAAAACAAGTAAGGTCTAAATTGAAAATGTGTCCACTGGTAATTAATTGGGCCCTTAAAACTCCTTTACAACCTAGAATTTCTATGCATTTCTTTGATATTTTATTACTGAGTAATTGGTAGAAGATAACAACATCAATAGAAAGCAAATTAGAAATGTAGGTTTGCTTGGGGTGGAGAGGGAGGAGTGGTGGAAGATAAGGAGTTCGACTCTAGATGATCAAGCCCAATGAAGTAGATATCTCCAAGGCTAGTCATAGAGAGTTAGAAAGTTAGAAGTCATTCTGAGTTTACATGGTGGCAGCCATAAGCATTAAGCTTCAAAAGGCCCCCAGACACACAGTTGTACATTTAGAATTTTTTAAAAAAAGATTGTTTGGTCCAAAGATAGAAAATACATTTCATTTCTTAGATAAATCAGATTAAGTGGCTGCCTAGATATATACATAGAAAAGGCTGCATCTAGCTGGACTAAGTCTCATAATTAATTGCCAGTTTCTTGTTTGGGCACAGAAATCACTTACTGCCATTGCTGAACTAGTCCAAACCCCAATTTTTAAGATGAAGAAACTGAAGTTTGTAGATGTTAGATGAGTAGCCTGACTCCCATGATGTCTAACTATACAAAGACTGAACGACTACGCTTTATTAAGTTTATCATATTTTTTCAAAGGTTAGAAAGAAATGAGGTTAATCCTGTCAGCAAGTGAATTCAGGCTGGAATAGAGGACCTGAAATTTAGAAGTTTACAAAATGAATATTAAACATTCACAAGTAAAGTGCTGATTGGTATTGCAAATCAAGGGAACTCCTTCTAAAATTAAGGAATACATATAGTAATGATAACCACTCATTTTATGTTTTACATTTAAAAAATACTTTTACTACTCAAAGCAATCTAGAGATTCAGTGCAATCCCTATCAAAATACCAATGTCATTTTTTCACAGAGATAGAAAAAAAATCCTAAGATTCATATGGAACACAAAAAAGAGCCCAAATAGCCAACGTAATCCTAAGCAAAAAGAATAAAGCTAGAAGCACCACACTACATGACTTTAAAGTACACTACTGGGCTGGGTGTGGTGGCTCACACCTGTAATCCAACATTTTGGGAAGCCAAGAAGGGAGGATCACTTGAGCCCAGGAGTTCAAGATCAGCCTGGGTAAGATGGCAAGACCCTGTCTCTACAAAAAATTTAAAAATTAGCCAGGCACGGTGGAACGTGCCTGTAGAACCAGCTACTTGGTAGGTTGAGGCAGTAGGATCATGTGAGCCCAGGAATTTGAGGCAGCAATGTGCTATGATTGCATCACTGCACTCCAGCCTGGGTGACAGAGTGATACCCCATCTTTAAAAGATAAAATAAAATAAAATAAAATAAAATAAACTACAAAACTATAGTTACCAAAACAGCATGGTACTAGTATAAAAACAGACACATAGGCCAACAGAACAGAAAAGAGAGCCCAGAAATAAATTTACACATTTGTAGCCTGCTGATTTTTGACAAAGGTGCCAAGAACAGACAATGGGGTATGAGTGGTCTCTTCAATAAATGATATTAGGAAAACTGTATATCCAGATGCAGAAGAATTAAATTAAACCCTTATCTCTCACCATACAAAAAAATCAACTCAAAATGGATTAAAGACTTAAATATGAAGACTCAGAACTATAAAACTTCTAGAAGAAAACAGGGGAAAAGCTCCATGACATTGGTCTGGGCAATGATTTTCGGGTTAAAACCTCAAAAGCACAGGAAACAAAACCAAAAACAGACAAATGGGACTATGGTAAACTAAAAAGCTTCTGTACAACATAAGAAACAATCAACAGTTCAAGAGACAACCTGCTGAATGAGAGAACATATTTGCAAACTATTCATCTGACAAGGGACTATATATCCAGAATACACAAGGAACTCAAACAACTCAGTAGTTAAAAAAATAATTCTATTAAAAATTGGGGAAAAGACACGAGCAGATATTTCTTAAGAGACAAACAAATGGCCAACAGACACACGAAAAAATGCTCAACATCACTAATTATCAGGAAATGAAAATCAAAACCACAATAAGATATCATCATATCACAGGAAGAATGGCTATTATCAAAAGGACAAAAAACAACAGATATTGGCCAGGATGCACAGCAAAGGGAACTCTTACATACTGTTGGTGAGAATGTGAATTATTACTAATTCCATAGCCACTATGGAAAAGAGTATGCAGATTATGGAGCCTGGGTGTGGTGGCTCACGCCCATAATCCCAGCACTTTGGGAGGCCAAGGCGGGTGGGATCACCTGATGTCGGGAGTTTGAGACCAGCCTGGCCAACATGGTGAAACCCCGTCTCTTACTAAAAATACAAAA